CATTACCTCTTAACTGCTTGTCCTTGAGCAAGTTACTTTATCCTTCCAAATTCTTTCTTCACTATGATGTACGTAAAATCTTAGGACAGTAATTAGCTCAGAAGTGTTATTATATATTTGAGGTGAACAAAATATGTTGTGCTGGTTCGTTCATAAGGCCTAGTCCTGGAGTAGAGAAAAGTGACTTGACAGTTAATAATGAGCTATTTTTTTTGAGCCCCAATCCCTTCCCTATTGAAGACTTACACCTGCCCCCACCTTGAAACCTCATCCCCCTAATATTACCCTTCTGGCTCTGAACCCCAAAGAGGATCGAAAAATCCCAGCCAATCATCCTGAGTGTGCACACTCACTAAGTCACGTTTCCTACCAGCCAAACCTCCTTGAGGAGCTCTTGGTTCCTCTCCTAAGTCTGAGCACCAAGCCCATATGCTCAGCAAATAAGTCAGATTTTTTAAAAAGCTAGGATGGCATTTCAGAAGGAGAGAAGCCATAATGGCCTTGCTCATATGCATCTCAATGGGGCAGAGTGAAAATAAATGGCACTAAAACTCATCGAGGAAGATGCAGTGTTTTTCAACAACTTAGGTTTGCTGGACCACTGAGATGCTCATTTTCTTCCACAGATCTTGCTGATTTCAATCCCAAGAGTCAATTCTCTACAAGCATTATGCCCTGTGTTCTGAAAGAACTCCAACTACCATTAATACTAGGCACTCTATTTTGATTCAAATAACAACCTCTATCTATCTACCTACCTATCTATTTATTTATGGCAGTGCTGGGGATTGAATCTCGGCCTCATACATGCTAGGCAAGTGCTCTACCACTGAGCCATGCCCCTTAAACCTCTATAATCTTTTTTATACACCTATGTTAGTACATATATTTCACCCTCAATGACAATATAGTGTAGGAATTTATCTACATTCAGATGAATGTAGATAAATATTCCTCTTCTATTCAGATGAAGAATCTTAAATTGGAAGAGATTAGGAACCTCCCCCAGGCCACCCGGCAAGTAAGCAATGGAGTAAGTAGGCACTTAGATCCAGGGTCTAATCCCAACTCTTAGTCTCCCAGCTTCATAGCCTGCCTGTCTCCACCCCTCCATCCTTCTCCTTCAGGCCCTTTGCTGCTATAAGTTACCACTGACCCATACTTGTTCACCCAGAGCCTGCTCACTGAACATGGGACGTCTTCCCTGCTCCTGCCCAGGTCCATGTGCACCCCAACACCATGCTTTGGTGTCTGAGGCCAAGTGGTACTCACTGCAGCACACTTAAAAGTGGTGATGGCTTCCAGATGAGCTTATTATTCTAAACTTAACATTCCTTTTGGTACTTACAATTTCCACTTTCTCCCTTCTACCCTTTTGCATTTATGCAATTAGAAAGCATGCAACAGGAAACCATGTGTCTCGGGACCGTTTGGGATGAAGGCTGTCCCAGCCCCATGGAGTACATCTTTGTGGAAAGATTTTGCAGAGTTTATTTGGACAGGTTCAAAAATAGTCCATCCAACAATACAATCAGATTGAACCATGACAAGTAAAATGCAATTATGGCTTGGTTACATAAAAAAAAATGTAAACAGTGAGGTTTGGGAAAACTAAAAGCAAAACTACATAGTCTCTTCATTCCCCCAATCTCTACATTTCCTCTGAACAGGATTTCAAGACTGCATTCTTGGGTCTTTTGAAATGGGCAAGAGAGGATGACACTCACTAAAGGAGACAGCTCAGCAGAGTGTGTTGAAGGCCATGTCTCAGAACAAAGGCACACTTCTGCAGAAGGCAACGCTCCTGATAAAGACTCCCCTAGTGGGTACTTGGAATGCCAAAGTCATTCACCTAAATGAGTTCAAAATACATATTGTTCTGGGCCAAATTATACAGTGTCAAGCTCAGACTGTATGTATTTATGTATGTTGGCAGAGCAGGCCACCTTTGGGGCGCCACAGCTCTATCCTAGTGTGCCTGTGCTCAGCTGGGTTCCCATCACTCTCTTCTCAAACCCATGAATTTCCTTGTATTTGGTTCCAGAAGGGCAGACAAGAGGCAAAGTCAAAAGTTTTGCAACCCCACAAGGGAACGGGGCCCTGGAGGACTTGAATTTCTAATGAAACTTAAAGTAGAAGAGAATGTGTGCCTTTGCCAACAAACTGGAACTTTCTGAAGGTAGATTTGGGATGGGAGCAGGGAGTGGGGACAAGATGAAGCATTGTGCTTTGGGCCAGTCTCTGCTAAGGTATGTAAGGCAGGGATACAAAGTATTCTGGGACTAAAACAAACAGCCAGAGCTGTCTCTGCTGACCTTTGCCCAGAACTGTTCCGATTCCTCAAAAATCTTGGGTGGTACTTCAAAGGTGCAGGGCAAAGGGATCCCTCCAAATGGATGCTACAACCTACAGCCTAGCGATGGACACTCTATCTTTCTGACATATCTAGAGAATTAGTAAGCACATTGTTTTCTGTCTTTGTCTTCTTGGTTGGGAACCTGTTATTCTTATCTCTGCTTGAATGAAGATGGAAAAATGGGGAATGATTCTTTTCCATACTTGCTAACTTTTAAAACAAATATGGAGAAGACAAGTGAAATGAGTCCAGCAGGCCACAGGTGTCCAGCAGTGGAACACAGGGCAACATGTAGAAGAGCCTAGAGATGGCTGGGGCTGGGGCTCCGTGGTAGAGCGACCACCTCGCATGTGGGAGGCTCTGGGTTGGATCCTCAGCACCACATAAAATAAATAAAGACATTGTGTCCACTTACAACTAAAAAAAACTTTAAAAAAGAAAGAAAGAAAAACAGCCAAGTGGCCACGGCATCATGACCATGACTTACAATCCTGGGCTCAGCCCATCTGGGGCAGAGTGGCTCTGCTGCCTGTTCCAGTCCAGAGCCTAGCACACATTTCTGGAAAGGGGAATAGGGCAAAGAATGAGGGAGGGAGAAATGGAGGGAGGAGATCTGTTATTCTGAATTTACTCATCACAGTAATCATAAGAACTAAGGTCTACTCAGTGTGCCCAAACTGGGGTCAGACACTAGTTCTGCCCCGGGAGGCCACCCAGCTTCACCCTTCCGTACCTCTCCCTTGCCTCTGCACACTCTGTGCAAACCACTTGTCGTTCCCCAGCTAAGACACGAATTTCCAGGATTCAGCCTTTGCAGGCTTCCTTCCTCTCGTCCTCACTTTCTCCTCTGCAAGGTTGCAGAGCCTTGGCCACTCCTTCCCCTTTGCTCTCAGTCCTCATCTGCTCACCCGTCTCCTCATTAAAATGGGAGGTCCTGAGTCTGTCTTTCCTACAGGCTCTCTAAAGTTAGAAGTCAGTGCCTTTTTACCTATTTATCTCTGCTGCCTACAGTGCCTATATTCAAATGAAGTCAGATGCAGTGGTGCACGCCTGTAATCCCAGCAACTCAGGAGGCTAACACAAGAGGATCACAAGTTCAAGGCCAGACTCAGCAACTTAGTAAGACCTTGTCTCAAACTAAAAAGGGCGGGGATATATCTCAATGGTAGAGTGACCCTGGGTTCAATACATAGTACTTCAAATACAAACAAAATATACAAAAATCCACTTACAAGATGAAGGGTAATAGGATCAAGCTCTGCCCATCTTACTATAAAAATGGTAAATTAAACACAAAAGCCTGAATTCTGGGGTTCTATACATTTCCAGAAGAAACTGCATACACACACACACACACACACACACACACATATAATATTTTTTAATTTTTTTTTTTTTAGTTGTAGTTGGACACAATACCTTTATTT